ATAAAGTCTAAATTTTATTTTAGAATCATTCATTGAGGTTTCGTTTCATTTTCATGTTTGAGCTATGAAACGACAGGTCTGGAGATTAAATTGCACACAGACCTCCAGATAAGAGGACAGCGACACTATGTTGTTCTGTTGAAAAGCGAAGTGACGTTTAAGTGTGATCTTTGACCTTTGTCTGACAGTCACTTATAAGTCACCGCAGACATCCTCACGGCTGTGATGTGGTTATACGGAGCCAATACAAAAAGCCTGAAAAGTGAACTCCTTGTCATTTTGACACAGCACAAAACCAAATGGGACCTCTGCTTTTAACACATCACCAAAGTGAACAGGGGGGAATTGTGGGGACAATGCCATGCTGAGTGGCAACTTGGCAACTCGTGGACTCGAACCTAAAACCTTCCAGACCAAGTCCACTTCCTTAACCACTAAGCCACCACTGCCCCGAAAAAAAACATTCCCTGACCGGGAATCGAACACAGGCCGCGCCAAATCCTAAACACTAGACCACCAGAGATTCCCGAAGAGACATAAAAGAACAGGAGCCACAGGTTAGACACCCATGAATGAACCCTTGAGCACTGACCTGGTGTTGATCCTCTCAGTGAAGCGGTTAGTGCCTAGCGACAGGCTGCCGTGTTTCTTCTGCAGATGTCCTCTCTGCTCGAACAGAGCCGTCAGGCTGTGGGAGTACAACTGCGCCGACTTTCCTGCAGGACAGAGATATTTTTAGCGTCAAAGTTAAACGCACAACTACACAACTTGTCAGGCAGGAGTTTGAACGGACGTGTTACCTGAGACGGACATCAGCACATTGTTCATGACGTAGAGCCACGTACATCGCTGAGGGAGCAGCTGTGAAGGAAGAGAAGATGTTTCTTTTATCAGGGAGCAGCATAACCAGTTGGTGTTTAGTACCAAATGTTCCTGAGTGAGGTGAAGCACAAAAAAGTTCTCAGCTGGGAGTTACTCTGCAGGGGACTAGTCTGTAAACGTCATGGTTATACTGGATTTTATTACACTGGCAGTCAGCTGTGATAACAGACATTAATTTAATGTATTTAATGTAATATTAATATCCATTCATCCATCTCTATTATTGAATTAAATTAGAATTATGTATACTAATGTATACCACATTATCTATCTGAGGTACTACTTCTCAAACAGTGGGGTGGGCTCCTCTAGGGGGCGCAGTGAGGTGCCGAGGGGCGTGACGTGAGGAATATGAACCACCGCTGTAATGCTTGAATGATAACAAGCCTCCAGTCACTAGGTGGCAGCAACTCATACAGTGGTTTGTACAGATAAAATATACACGTTATATGGTTCGCAATAGTATTGCAATTCGCGGGAGTGTGGGTTGGAGTCAGGCGTGAAAACATTTCTGTCCTCATGTGGGGGTATGACAGAAGTTACATTGAGAATCACTACTCTGTGTATAGTATTCCTCTCCTATCGCGATAGTTGCAAGACCCACCGCTAACAGGTTAAATCCGCGAGGTAGGGGCGAGATAGTTTTTATATCATTTCTGTATATATTTACCCTTATCAACCCTCCCTAGACTGTATTACCCTTTCCAACACAATTATATGCACAGTAGAGTTGTAGAATGGAAATATAAGACATACACATTACGTAAATAGATTAAATACAACGCGGCGGAAGTTAGCGCTCAGTTGCAAGAGGAAGTGCACGGGAGTGGCGATGCAGATGCAGCCCCGGGCGGAAGTGAGCGCAATTGGAGTAACCCGCTCCTCTCCTTATATTAATAGGAAAAGTAGGAGACGGACCGACCTTACATAAATGTTGGGCACAATCAGCGTGAGGAACGGAAGTGAATGCTCAACTAGCCAATAGAATGCTGTGCAAGATCTCGTCCAGGTAAACAAAGCCATTTTTAAAGCCAACACTTTCGTATGTATTATTGTTTTATAATGTCTTTTAGTTAAATTTTTTTTTGCCATATTACTGTTTAATTGCTTAAGGTTAGAACATGTTTTGTATCACGAAAATAATATATTGGTTTTGTTTTACTTTACGTTTTACAGTTTAAATAGTTAAATATTTCGAATAAACAAGTTATAGATATATAGACAATTCCAGCAGCCATAATAGTATATGAATGCTAGCTTAACTAATGCCACTGTTTACACCGGTGATACCAGTATTTACAGCATTAGCTACAATGTAGACCTGTGCTTATTTTCGCTTTTAATGCCATTGGACAGGTCCCTGGTAGTCTAGTGGTTAGGATTCGGCGCTCTCACCGCCGCGGCCCGGGTTCGATTCCCGGTCAGGGAACAATATTTTTAGGGCAGTGGTCGCGTCGGGTAAAAAGCAGAGGTCACATTTAGCTGTGTGCAGTCACAATGACAAGTAATTCACTTTCACGGCACTGACCGGACATTAGAGGTCCAGCTTGAAGGACTTTGTTTACGTAGTAACGATTGCTTGGATGTATAATTGGACAATGAACAAGTGGGTTCAGGGTTTTGCAAAAGGTCAATTCACTTCTTTTCTGGTTTCAGCAAATAAGTGAGAAGTGACTTAAAGAAATAAATGAAAAAGCAGTACACATTTGCCCTAAAAACATTGTTCCCTGACCGGGAATCGAACCCGGGCCGCGGCGGTGAGAGCGCCGAATCCTAACCACTAGACCACCAGGGACCTGTGTAGTGGTCAGTGTAAACAGCCACAATCTGAATACATAATATATATGATAACCATAAAATCATTAAATATGAAATAACAAACTTATTGGACGTGAAGTTGCCTAACAGAACTCTTGACCATGACCTGGATGACTGAGAATCTCCATAGACAACAAAATTATTATTCATATTTTATAGTGTCACCTTTTCTAATGTGTCTTCATGAAGTTCGTTGAGGTTCAGCGTGTAGATGCCTTCCTCTGCACCGAGAATGAGGTACTGATCTGAGAATCATGATTACATAAAAACAAAAATATACCGTAAGAAAAAACCCCCAAAAAACAACATCAAACATGATGAACAAACTCAGAGAGCAAGAAAAAATGTATAAAAATGGTGACATCTGACAAAAAAGGTGATTTTGAACATTCCTATTCAAATTGTTATCTTTCTTATACATTTTCAAATGTAATAATACTTTTACTATTTTACATAACACACAGCAGGTGCTTTTAAAAAATATTATTAAAATAAAATAATTTAATTGTGTGAAAAAAAATTGCATTACAACAGGATATCTTTGGGACATTTTTTTATGAGGATTTCTAACATTTTGGCTGAAATGCACATGCAGATCTATTTGAAAACCTCACCTCTTGTCTTGGGTAAAATCCAGGTGGACGCGCAGTGGATGTGAAGAGGACAGCCGTTGAAAACTTTGGAGAAGCAGGCTCCCATCTGTAGTGGCAGCACATGTGAATACCACCAAACAATTCACAAGAGACCTGACAGTGATTGAATTGTGCCTGTTGATCATTTGGTAGCGGGCCACAGCTAAAGTATTCATGATTTACTTCATTTACTTTTTATATATTTTGTCTGTATTATGCCACAAATAATTGCAGATAAACGGTATTACTGTCAACAACATTTTGAGACCAAATTAGTCACTAAGGAAATGATAATATATTATATATATATAACAAGTGCACCTTTTCAAATGAAATAAACTTTATATCTTATGAGTATTTTCTATGATGACTACGTGTCCCCCTTTAACGTTGCACCACGATACTGGATGATACTACAGTTCATAAGAAACCTGGCTGCATTTAGCAAAAATTTCAAAAAGAAGATAATTTGTATGTGATGAAATGTCTAAGAGCTTGTGTCAACAATGTTAGAAATCACATCATATTTTATATTTGGACTAATGTCACTTAGAGCTTTCACAGTGGCATGACTCCTTTTTACCTATTTTTATACCAAATAATGCTGGGATGACAGCACTGACAGAAGATATGTCTTTCCCAGTGAAATACCGTAATTTACGGACTATTGAGCACATCTAAATATAAGCCGCACCCACTAAATTTAAGAAGAAAAAAACAATAGTACATATATAGGCCGCACTTCTCTATAAGCCGCAAGTGTCCACATTGTAACATGGGATATTTACACAGAAAGATTATTTTTCACATATTAAATAAATAAATGTTTTTTCCCGAACAGTGCCTGTAACACAGCTGGTTAAACGTTAGCTCTTTCCTGTTTCAGCACCATAGTTGGAATGTACAGGGGAGACTTAGTGATCTACTCCAGGGCTGAAGCTAACATTAGCTCCGGGGCTAACTCCCTTCACTTTGTGCTCGTCCACAGCAGAGGTAAACAGAAACAGTGAAGTTGGGGTCTTTATTATCAGCCACTCCGACCACAACAGAACATAAACAGCTCCTGTAGAATCAACTCACTCTTCAACATGACAGAGCTCAAACTGCTCTGAACTTTAGCTACTCTGTCCCACGCACATATACACACAACCATTCACAGACAGACATACGCTACTGGTATAACACACAGTAGCCTACCAGAAAAGTCATTGATCGCTAGCGGTATGAACTACGTTAGCCCGTAAAAATCCATGAATTAGCCGCATGTGAAAAAAAGTAGAAGCTTATAGTCTGGAAATTACGGTATTACAAACGTTCACTGAGAGCACCGTGTGGAACCAAAATCCGAATGTGCTCCATGGCAGTTCCTGCCACTGTGAAAGCTCTAACTGTGTGTCTAGAGGCATGCTGTTAGATTTCACACTTACATGGACCTGAGGGGTAGGAGGAAGTCCATGACACTCAGCCCTCTAGAAATGTCAGGGGTTACACAGAACAAACAAAGGAGGACAGAAAGTCTACTTAAGACAACGTCACAAAACAAACTTTCACTTAGATGCACGATGTCTCCTCTAACAGGGACGTGGACTAATTGAGAATTTTAACTGAATTATTAGCACGTTATTGGGTTAAATCACACCGGTTGATTCATTTAATGACGTTGGATGAAGCTGGATTTGTTCTGAACTCACAGAGTCCTCTGTCTTCTTTCTCAACGTGCTCCACTCTGGTGACAGAGGAGTGTCTCTTTTCGGGGGAGACACAGGGGTGGACTTTCTCTTCTCTGCTCTCACTGGGTCACTGCAGCGCTGTCTGATGTCCTGCGTGGCTGAGCACCTGCTCAGGGCTAAATATTAAAAATAAAGAAAAGATTTTATTCTTGGTGCCGTGTCTCACCCAGATGTGCAAACTTTTTGACTCGCGGGCCACAATTGTCCTAAAATTGAAAAGGGGGGCCGGGTCAGGAGCAGAGAGGTGGCGCAATTGTGTGATCTAAGATAAATGACATGCAATGACATGCATAAAGGCTAAAATGATAAAATATTTTCTAATTTTCTACGCCATCTATTGGGGAAACGTGGGTATTGCAGGGAAAAGGCAGAAGTATAATGATAATATAAATAAATTATATAATCTGGAAAAGTTTGCCGGGCCACATTAAATATCTCAACTGGCCGCATTTGGCCCCCGGGCCTTAGTTTGCCCATGTCTGGTCTAACTTATGGAGACATTATAAAAATGAAAAATGTCACTTTTAAATAAATGCTATCAAAAAAATGTCACTTTTAAATAAATGCTATTAGCTCTCTTTTCAGTAAAATATGATGTTATTTTGTCAATTGTAATCGCTTTTGACTATTTCTTTAGGGGAACCTACTTTTAAAAAATGACACAAGCTCAAAGATGTGGTTTTTAAAACACACATTGTCCTGGCCCAATGCTTCTCAAATAGTGGGGCGTGGCCCCGGTCGGTGACGTGGTGAGATGTCATGGGGGGCATGACGCTTGAACAATAAACAAGCCTCCAGTCACTAGATGGCAGCAGAGCAGGCTTTATTTACTGTATCCGTTTCGGGGATTGTATGCAGAGTACTAGTGGTAGCAATTCATATTTTGGTTAAATATTACCAGGTGCTCAATAGTATTTGGGGGACAGGGGGAAGCACTGTCCTAGCCAATGTATGACTGCGACTTTGACATCATTTTCTTACGTACTGTCTATAGATGTACCTGTAGTGGAGGGGGAGTCAGTGGTAATGACAGCTTCAGGGCCCAGCGTACAGCTCGGCCTCAGCGTCGGGTCTCCCTCTTCAGAGTTTGGGGTCAAAGAGCTGAAGGCTGGCAGTGATGCTGTGGTTGGACTAAAGAGGCAGCTCTTCCTGAGCCCCTGAAACACAAACATAGGGCTCATTTTGTAAAAAAAAAAAAAAAAGAAAAAAAAAGACAGATAGTTTACATAATGTAGAACAATGTACAAAAAGTATATAAAAAAACTACATGAAAACATTTTTTTTTCATTCATTTTCATTCATTTTTGGACATGGGTTCCCAAAGCACAGCCCTTGGGGGACAGAGTTATTACAGTAGACATGTCAAATACATTTCATTTTTAATGCTTTATTTATTTGTGCCACAGTGTTAAAGTGCACTGATTTGTAGGTTTGATTTTCATTTTCTTAGAAATTAAGTTCAATGGAATTTTGAAGTATTGATGGAGAACAAGGGGGCTTGAAACTCTAAATCTCTATCTACAAAAGTTGGTTGCTATTGGTCTGCTGTTGTGACAACACAGAATAATAATAAGTATAGTACACTGTAAATGTTTGTTGTCATGCTGTGATGTCTTTAAATGTGTATATGTTGCTTGGTGTGTGTTTATTTGTATGTATTTTTGGCATGTCTGAAAATTTTGCAAAAATTCCTTTTAAACTCAAAATAAACTGCAATATCTTAAAACAGTGGAACCGCGGTTGTCAAACACTTCCCTATTTTTGAACAATCTGGTTCACGAACAAAATTTTTAACCAAAAATTGCCCGTTGCCGTACCATTAGTTAAAGTTCAAAAGGAGTGACTCTGATCAGCAAGCAAAGATCTCAGACTTCAGAAGAAGTGGAAAAGTTACTACTGATTTGGATCAACCAAAAGCAGTTGGCCGGTGACAGTATTTCGGAGACAATTTCTGAGAAAGCGAAGCAAAGATTGCGAAATCACGAGTCCTCAGCTCTGGTAAGGATGAACAGAATTGCCTTTCCTATTTGTAGCTTTATTCTTTGCTCAGTTGTGTTTATCTTTTTTGTTAGATCTAATTATTTTCATTGGTTTCGTGTATGAACCTGTACACAAAATACTGTTGAAAAAGTTTGAATAATCAATAATCCACGGTCCTGGAACAGATGAATCCATTTTACATTGATTCCTATGGGGAAAAGAGTATCAGTTTTGGAACTTTTTCGGTCCACGAATGGCATTCAGGAACAAATTAAGTTAAAAAAACCGAGGTCCCACTGTAGTTGTATTCTCTAAATATAGGATTATTTTTCAACCTTGGTAAATTTGTGGTAACATCTGTGTTTGAGGAATAAACTGGGAATCCAAAACTTTGCAACACAGCTGATTTAAAATTGCTCTATGCCAGGTTCTTGTTTCAAACTCAATGTCTCTGAAATTGATTATTACTTATTCAGTTAACAAATATAGTAGTATTGTGTAATAAAAAATGTTTATCAAGTTAATAAACTTTGCAGCATTTTAAGACATCTTAAGCTCCCACAATAGGGGGCCACACAATATGACTCAGCGGGCCACATTTGGCCCACGGTCCTTGAGTTTGACACTCAACGTCAAAGTTACTGCTTACTGCTGTAATTTCATTCCACCGGTACTTTAGACTCGACTTGACCAAATGTAAAGAGCCTTGCAACTCGACTTGGACTTTAACATCAACGACTCGTGACTTCACTTGGACTTGAGCCCTTTGACTCGACAAGACTCGATACTTTCCCCAAAACCCAAAGTGATCTGTGTAAATATATTATTATTTTGTTTAAAAGGACTCGAAGACAGAAACGGCAGGACTTGGGACTTGACTTGACACTTTTCAGTCTTGACTTGGACTCGACTCGGACTTCGCCTGTCTTGACTTGAGACTTGACTCGGACTTGAGTGCAAAGACTTGAGACTTACTTATGACTTGCAAAGCAAGGACTTGGTCCCACCTCTGCTACATAGTGACCTGACGTCTTGGTGTAACAGTGCGTCACTCACAAGTATAGTGCCACCTACTGTACCACAGCGTGAAGCCTCGGGGAATGACCAGTGAATTTTTTAGATAACTCTTCACGATTCGTTGCGATTCAAATTGTCGCACATTTGTATCGTTTTTTTTATTCGATTGACGACGTACTGTTACATCTCTAGCCATAACTGACAAATGTTATGTTGTGTGTTCTCTACTCACGTCAGTAGATGGTGCTCTCCTAATGGTTAAACTCCTGAAAGAAAAGCAAAGAAGTCACAATTACAAAGGCTCAGCACATACTGGTGTTGAGGAATCATCAACAAGATGGACAATGGAGACAAACGCTAAAGACGTTGAAAACAGACGGGGGCGGGCGGAGGGGGACGGCCACACAAAAAACACACAATTTCTTGTAGTACACCACAAAAATAAAAAAAATAAATAAAAAGGAAAACAAAAGCCCACACAGCCAAGAACCAGGAGGTTTGTGCTGAATCACCACACCCAGACAGCAGGACTTTTGTGTTTGGGGACGGGATTATTGGGGAATGAACACAAACCCACTGAGGAGACCAAAGGTGTCGGCAGTAGCTGATATTCACAACAGAAATATCAGTCAGCACAAGCAGTTGAACTGATGTGGGACGGCGGGGCTGCTGCAGTTAGAAAAGGCTCGGGGTGGGTGGTGGGCGGGGCCTACCTCAGCTGCAGCGCTTGTTCCACACATTCCAACAGGCTCCTGCAACAGGAAGACCTGGTGTTTATCTGCCCATAGGCCTGAATGGCCCATAACAATGGACTACTGGTTTTTGAACTCCAACCACGACCGGGAGCACTCTATATCGACATTAAAGAGTGATTTCTGACTGATTGTTTTATTGATACTTTTTGGTGAAAAGAGGTTGTAATTGTCCAAAAAAAAAAGAGTTTAGCCTTAAACTTTTTGACTCGCGGGCCACAATTGGTCCTAAAATTGAACAAGGGGGGCCGGGTCAGGAACAGATAGATGGAGGGTTGATGTGAACTAAGATAAATGACATGTAAATGTCATGCATAAAGGCTAAAATGCTAATATGCTAAAATGCTTTTATTCTTCTCTACGCCATCTATAGGGAAATGAGGGCATTGCAGTGAAAAGGCAGTAATATTATCACAATACAAACCAATTATATAATTTGGACAAGTTTGGCGGGCCGGATTACAAAGCTGAATGGGCCACATCTGACCCCCGGGCCTTAGTTTGCCCATGCCTGGTTTAGCCCCTTGATTTAAGACTTCTTAATGAAGTACAACCAGCTAAAGCCCAGCAAAATATTTTAAAATAGAGACCATCAGGTTTTTTTATGAATTGTACTAAGACAAGTGGTATCAACATTTCACAAGAAATTCACTGGTCTCATGACAACAAGTGACCATGAAAACTCACTTTAATTTACTTTAAATGTTTCAGTAATCTAGGTGGAATTTGTCCAAAAAAGCTAAACATTAAGCAAAAGCTAGCGAAAAAGTTTCGGTAAACATTTGCCATAAATAATCAAGCACGGATTCTATTAACTACTGTGTTAGTAAGTGTTTGCCAAAAGCAGCCAGAATTACTTTCAATTTAATATAAATACGGTAATTTAAACTAAAAGAAGCAATACGTGGCATTAGATGCTCCTTGTTAGTGAAAATTAGTCCAGAAATAGCTAGTAAACCAAAAGCTAGCTCAAATATTTGAGCAAAGAATTTGTGAATAATTGCCAAACATTAATCGAGGAAAAACTAAAAAAAAATTCAGGTCCATTTTTTTAAGCTACTGCAGGACAAAAAAATGTGTCACCAACACTACCACTTTTAAACTATTTTGGGGAAAAAAGCTAACATGTGTTATTGCTTTTTCTTTCTTTTCTGTTTTGGATGTTCTCTTTATTATAAATGACAAAACTAAATCGGACAAAAATAAAACAAAACAAAATGAACAAGTAGAAAAAAAATCAAAACAAATAGAAAGTAATAAACCTTCTCTAAGGACATTTATTTTGAAAAAGCACATCGACGCGTGTCAAGAGGCATTTGTAAGTGGAACAGAACATGGTCATTTTTCAAAATAAAATGTCTCAAATGCAAATATTATTGAGCGGGGGCTTCTAGGTTTAAAAAGACCCACTGCCCCTCAGCTGACTGAGACCAGTTGTCATACTGGACATTTTTAATATTTTTTAGTCACTCTGGAGTGGCTCCTCCATTACTTCCTCTTGTCACCAAAGTAAGAGGTTTACAGAGACAGATCTTCCAAAGTAAGACCTTATTTAAAATATCTGGGCTGTGACGTAAAACATGCAGAACAGAAAAAAAGTATATTTAATCACTAGTTGAAGCGACTAGACAATTTATAAGATTAGTTTTCCAAAGTAAGACCTTATTTAAAATATCTTATAAGATTCGTTTCTTACTAAAAGCAGAATTTTCCGACATAGTTTTTTAAAATGTGTATAATGAAGTACAATATGACAACCATGTCATTTTCCTTTACCAATCTAAGGTAAGATTATACTGGAAAACCGGAAAACTCATGCAAATGCCAAGACCAAAAACTTTGACTAGGATCTCCTCCAGTCACAAAAAAACCTACCCTTTAATTTCTACCAAAATTGTAAGTTAGACACAAAAACGTAACTAAGTATAGTTATGACCTGACATCATTCTTCCTAGGCTCTGTCACTGAGACCACAATGTCCCTGATTTGGATCTGGCCAGGAATCCTTTCTTGAATATAATTCCCCATCAGTTCCATAGATTAACTTTGCAGCAGGATCTGTCCCTGTTTTGTCTTCATCGTGCCTGGACAAATCCACATCCTAATAACTCCATTATGTTCATAGAAACCATCAATACTATGCAGAAATGTAGTATAATGAGTCGTAATGTCCTAGAAGTAGCCATAAAAATGTTACATTACTAAAGCAGTGCTTCTCAAACAGGGGGGTGTGGTGAGGTGCCATGGCACGCTGGACGTAAGTGTACCACTGCTGTAATGCTTGGATGATAACAAGCCTTCAGTCACTAGGTGGCAGCAACTCATGCAGTGGTTTATACAGATAAAAATATACATGTTGTCAGGTTCTCAGTATTTCAATTCGTGGGTGTCGGAGGTCCCTAAGGGGGACATGAAAACATTTCTGTAACCATGGCGGGCATGACAGAAAACAATTGAGAACCACTGGTCTAAAGTAACAAACCCACAAAGCACAGTTCAGCCACAGCTGTGACGTTATGTACGTCTAAAAGCATCAATAATAACTAGGGACTAGGTACGGATAAATAAATAAATATTACTAGGCACTCAATAGTATTTCAATTTGGTAGGGGGTGTAAAAAACCTTTGTCCCCTGGGGGGGGGTAGAAATCATTGAGAAACACTGCTTTAACCCATCACCTTAGTGAGCAGGCAGCGCTTAACGTCCTTTTCCACCAGGCCAACACTGCCTCGCTGTATCGGTACCAGTTGATATCAGAATTGGAAATGAAGTGTTTGGACAATATCGGTATATGGGCAAAAAGTAAATATCGGACATCCCTAATAATAACATTTTACGATTTTAATAATAGGCAGAGAAAGCCTTGCTGGCCTTGATGTCACATTCACATGTATGATCACAAATTAGGTTAAAGACGTTCACCAAAAGCAGCTGAAAATCCTCTTAGTATACAAGTTAGGTTAAATAGCTACAAGTTAGCCACAGTGTAGATTATAAATGAATCCCGCGGAGCTAAAAGTTAGGCAAAAGCTACCTCAAATGAAGAATAACCAATCATTGTTCGGGCAAAAGCTAAAAAACTAGCTATTCCAAGTTTTTGCTCTAAAATGTCTTGCTATTCAAAATCTGCAGTTTTGCTCAAAACATTAAAGCTACTAGTACAAAATTTATCTGAAACTACAACTTAGGAAAAACAGCCAGCACCTAGAGGGAAATCTAAGAAAATTTGGCAGACTAGAGGACACACATTTTTGCCCTTAAACGTGAGCCTGTTTTTTTTTGTCACAAAAAACATTAATGTTAGCCCTGAATGTCACTGAAACAAATAAAACTAAGGCATAGAGCCACAATAGTTTTTTATATCCCGATGTTAGCTTCTGTTTGCCATCACTCAAACGTGAGTGAAAAAAATATGTGGCTAGATACGTTGAAGCTAACGAGATTTTAAATCCTATTTATATAATTTTACTTTATGAATAAAAAAAACAATACAGGAAAAATAATTTCTCCACCGAGATTTTAAATCCTATTTATATAATTTAACTTTATGAATAAAAAAAAAAACAATACAGGAAAAATAGTTTCTCCACTTAAAATGGGCTGCAGTGCTGATTGTTTTTTTTAGGAACGACTTTGAGCGTCTTTTGTTTAAACGCTTTTGGCCTTTAATATGTTTCTGGGTATATTATATCACGTATTTCTTTTTTAGATATTAACAGTGCCTCTGGTGGTTGCATGGTGAAATACATTTTTAGCATTATTCTTTAGAAAATAATAATGTTCTTTTTTTCACATTTGATCCTATTTAGAGGAAAATGGACCATGTTCTGACAAATAAATACCAGAAGACTTTTTTCATAATAAAAAATAGTACTTTAGTGTGTCTATATGTAAAAGTAACACCGAAAATATATTAGATGTTTTTGTGCTTTTATGCTCAGTGTATTTGTGTTTATTAGTGGATATTTCATTACCCTAGGATGAACATCCTGAATTGAGAGGAAGCATGAATGTTTACATCAAAACAAGGCAAACATATTATCATCACCAGCCTCTATCATTGTCAGATACTGATCGTTTAAAAAAAAAAAAAAAAAAGGATAAAAAGCAGGACTTACGGAGAGTTGTCTTCTTCACCAGAAAGACTCCAGTCATCGTCATATTGGCCCTGCTGGATGAAAAATGAACGATCAAAATGATAAAAAAAAAAAAAAATGTATGGTCTAAGTCATTGTGAAATTTAAAAAATAGCATGCCAAAAAACATAATATAATTACCAAATCAGGATAAGGCTCTGTGACTTTTCTCAGCGGCGGACCAAACTTCATTTGGTTAACTGCAAAGAAAATGAAATGATAAAAACAAACGTCAACGTCTGTCATAAGAATGATTGCAGTAGACAATCAAAATATGTTACAAAAACATGATGGATGAAGCTAAAGTTATCTACATACATTGATCATATTAAATATATATTTACTCCTATAAACAGAACGAGCTTTATACATACATGTATAACACAATATTTGTAATATAATTGAAGAAGATCTTTGTTTGTCTTTTTTCAAATTCCTCTGTGTATTTCGGGGCTTGTGTTCAACCAAACAGGCATCGGTAGAAATAGAAGATGTTCTTCTTTTTCTTTTGGCTTTGTCCCTTTTTTCAGTAGTTGCCACAGTGAATCATTGATTTCCATCTCTCCCTGTTCTCTGCATAAATATAAATATATATATAAATATATATAAATGTGGAAATAGAAGATCATTGTATTTTATTACACTACCTTTTGGGACATTTTTCTTTGTTGGTGCGCCATATGTGCTGCGGCTCAAAAAAGGTTGGGAAACACTAGTCTACGTTTCTGATGCCACAGCTTCAGATGACGGCGCTTATTGCGATAACGTAATTCACAAAGAGCAGTAGCTTTTCACCAGATGAAATCAATGTGCTTTGGTCTCTCTTATTGATTAGCCCCAGAGTCCTCAAGATTAAAACTACACTTAACACATTCTCTGCAACCACCCAAAGGCCTTGCGCCACAGCTGAGCTGAGATTTGCAATTCAAATATTCAAATAACAATAGTCTGATAAAACAGAAAGCTCTAGATTCTAGGGCGGCAATTAAGTAAATGCAATAGATGTGAGGAATGTGCCTTGTTATTTGGCACATACTTTGCATTTTTCGCCCTCTTCAGTGCTTTAGCTGCACCATCAGCACCAACTTGCAGGGACTTGACACTTGTTTGCAACAGAAATTCCATCAAAGCGAACATAATGTGTATGTTCCAACACAGCAGAAATGCAGGGTTAAGTTGTAGCTGAAGGCAAACGTGATCAGCTCAGCTGCTTTTATGCCGAAATGTAGCTGAATTTAATATGTTTTATTCATCTTTTCGAGTGTTGCGTGCCAGACTTGGTTTACAAACCTCTGTTACAAATTTGAAACACGAACCGCTATTGAATAGTAAGTGATAAATAAATATTTGATTAAAAATTGCTTCATATGATTGATCATAATTTTGGCCGGCTGACTAATCAGTGTGAGTGGCTGTAAAGTGTACAAACAGCAAATTTAGAAAGGTTGGCACACTGTGTAAAATGGAACAGAAATAGTTAATTCAGTTGCACTTTTTGCAATTAGGCTAATGGACAAAGGGACAAAGATGGAGACATTTGCAACATTTTAGGGGGCAGTGGTGACTTAGTGGTTAAGGAAGGGTCCAGCAGGCTTCAGGTTCGAGTCCACCAGCTGCCAAGTTACCACTGAGGTGCTCTGAGCATGGCATTACCCGGGTGCTTAAAGCTGCTCACTGTTCACTTTGGTGATGGGTTAAAAGCAGAGGTCACATTTGGTTGTGTGCAGTGGTGTGCTGTGTCACAATGACATGTAGTTCACTGTCCTTCCTCTTCTTTCCTTTCCTACCAAAAAATGTTTACAGCTGGGTCACATCCTCTTTACTGGAAACTAAGACTACTAACTGTTGCTGTTTAACCAACTTCCTATACTAACTGTAGTAATTCGATAACTGCCCCAGTAGACAGAACAAACATCCATGCAATCTGTTTTGGTCAAACAGAAGTAAACAGCAAGTGTGTTTGTCGCTTGTTATTGATACATTTGAATTCAAAGACACTGTATACACAAAAGCACACACACACATATATATATACATATATACATATATATA